AAAATTTGTGACCTCGGCAGATTAAAGGGAGTCCAATTAACTGGAGGTTTACCTGCAGATTGTTGCGGGGGTGTTGAGTTCGTCCTTTCGAATCTCGTTGGGGAGGTCAACATCAGACCTCGGTTCTGTGCCATTCTCATCCTTTTCCGGCTCGAATTGTCATCTCTCCATTCTGGGTTCTGGTTCTTAGAGGAAGGTGGGTTTTGCGCCAGGGCGTATTTCTCAGCAGTTATAAATTTGAGAGACCTATCGTTCACCTCGCTAAAAGTGGTGGCAGCATGTCTGATCAAACTGTCTCGGAACCTGTCATGTTTGAGACTAGAGATTACAGCTGCTATGCCCACAGCTTGGTCGAAGGAATTAACCTCTAACACCGCGTCGTTGAACCTGCTCATGTAGTTCTTTAGGGACTCCCCGTCCCTCTGTTTAACTCACATTAATTCGGTAGTAGTTTTCCTAATCAACCTTCTACTGGAAAACTTAGTGGCAAAGGCAGATACCATTTCTGTGTAAGAACTAATTGATCTCGGAGGTAGACTGTAATACCAAGTTCGAGCATTACCTCACAGAGTAGAGGGGAAGATTTTGCACATTAATGCGTCAGAGGCATTCTGAGCTTGCATGCAAGAGTAGAAAGCGTGCAGGTGATCATCGGGGTCCTTCGTCCCATCGTATGTCTCCAGTTGGGGTATTTTGAAGCCAGTAGGATAGGGTTCCAGTGTGATGTTGGTATTCAGGGGGTGAGGTATGGAATCAGCAGCATGGTGTGGGGGTGGAGCACCTCGGTGTTCAGCTACCAGCTTTTCTAAGGTATCAAGGCGGCGGGTAACATCATCAGGGATAGGTTGTTGAGCAGGTGCTATGTGGGATTGACCATGAGATTCGCTAATAGCAGGAGCAGGTGGAATCGGTTGAGGATTCTGTTGTGGAGCTGGGGGTTGTTGAGCAGGGTTTAGTAAGTTAATGAGGGGATCACCAGGATTATTTCTAGCTAGAAGCTGAGCTGTCACCACATCTTGGTTGACAGTGGAAGTTGAATTGTGAGTTGAGGTATGGGGTTGGTTTTCATCTCCTCCTTCTGCATGATCAACAGGAGGGAATATGGTTGGGACCTAAGGTGGAAGCTGAGGTTGGATTTGAGGTGGGATCAGAGGTGGAAGGTTGTTGGGGGGTTGACCTTGCCCATGAGGCAGAGATGAATTACCAGCTCGGACTGATCGAGTGTGGACCATGATGAAAGAGCAACTAGAAAGCTTTTAGTTCGATTCCCACAGACGGCGCCAATGTAATTGCACCAAACCTGAAGTCCTTCTTCTGTCCGCGCTTACACTCCGAGATGACCTGCAAAGCCCCGAGGTGGAACTTGGGGTAGACACTTTGATGCTTAAGTCAGCAATAATCGGGGCTACCTTTAAGGCGGAGATAAAAAGAGCTTAGGGTTGGTTTCAATCACTTTTTTGACGTGGCCCGGGGGGGTATTTATAGGATCCAATGAGGAACCCACGTGTCATGCCAAGTAAGATAATCGGAGCCTGACGTGTTCATCCAGACGATAATTCCAGGACCGGGAATTTGAGAGGTACTCAGATGCACAAGCGTCCACCATACTTGCTGTGCCATTCATCATAAGGAATCAGGAACGGGCATGCTTATTGTCCTTGTCATGCAGCCATTTGAGCGGGAAGCTTTTGGATTTATTCCTTACTTTGGTCATAAAGGAATTACTGTAGCAGTCCGAGGCTTGGCATCTCGGACCTGTCCTTACACATGGTCAATGATATGTCCTAGTTTGGCCATCTGGTCAGTAGCCATATTGGACTCACGAACGGTATGTCTAAGTTCCGTGTGGGGAATTTACTGAAGAAGCTCCCCGCAGTCAAAGATTAAACAAACTAGCCTTCGTTTCAGTGCTTCAACCAAACCTTGACCTTTCCATCCCTTCTCACCTTCAACATTATCAGGTAATTTCATGCATATATTTCAAAAAAGATGAATTCAAATGTTAATTAATTCTTTGAATTTTTTTGGGTGGTTGTTTTAGTGGTTTGGGAATTTAGAAATTTTTTTCTTAGGATGGGAATGGAGTGCATGGAAGCAAGAGCATTGAAATCAAGGGAACTATTGGGAATAAGCCCCTAACATTCAACCCGGGCCATATACAATAGGCCTAGGAGTTCATCCCTAAGCTAACAATGAAGACACATCCAGGCACTAATCCAAACATACCCACGTGGGTGTATGTACATGGACTAATTAGAGGTGCACACGTGTATCCTTATGTCAGGATTCGGGGGTTATAAACACCCCCCAACTACCTCCACTCAAGGTAATAACTCCACTATGCTTCTCTCTCTGCAATTACTCTTTGAGAGCTTCTCTCTCTAGAATATTGAGTATTGCTAACTTGAGCGTCGGAGTATTTTCCCTGGGGAAACATTCTTGGGATTTTCAGGTGTTGAAGCAGTTGAAAATCTCTACAGTATAGGTTCATGAAGTTGCCCAAACATTTGGCGCCATTTGTGGGAACCTAAACAAAAAGTGGTGTAGCTTAACTAGCTGAAGTTAAAGATGGTACATACCTTTACTGGGAATCGCCCTCCAAGAGATGACATGGACAAACAGGATAATACTCAGCTTTTGGAGAGTGACCTAAATGACTTTCGGCCAATGCTGAGGAACCTTTTTGTCGGAGGAGTAGAACAAGAACAGTTGAATAGCTTAGATGACGAACGGACACCTACTGGGTATGCAACCCAACCTGAAGAAGAGTTCTAAATCCTAATAGAAGCGAGGTAGAGACATCCCTCACATAATACCTCATGATGTAGAGGGCCCGTGGAATGTACTCAGACATCCAAGTTGGAGGAACGGACCAAGGTCCTAGAAATGGCTTTGGGAAGAATACTTTCCTGTTTAATCTCTGATGACCCCTTGATCCCCCTGTTGAATAAGGGTGAACAGCCTGCAGAAATTGCAACTCGTAATTCCCCAGCTTTGAGAAACATAATAGTGCCGACCAGGCTGAGAGGAAGTGGGAAGTCAAATCATGAGCCCAACTCATCAAAGCACAATGAAGAGTTGATGAGGAAGAATGCTAACCTCGAAAGGCAACTCAAAGATGTGCAGGGATCTATTGACGAGCTGAAAAGTTTGAGGTCGTGCCAACAAGCCTTGGATTTGGATAGTGCCCCTCTCAACCTATCCATTACAGCAGAACCATATCAAGAGGGATTCAAGATTCCTCACTTAGAAGCGTACAATGGCTCTGGTGACCCAGACGAACATTTGTATACCTATTAGGCCATCATGAAAATCTAGAACGCTACAGATGTTATGATGTGCAAAGTATTCCCTGCAACTTTGAAGTCGACTGCTAGATAGTGGTATCACAAGCTTCCCAGACATTCCATAACTTCTTACTCTCAGCTTGCTACTCTGTTCTCTAACAAGTTTGGGAGCCAACGGGAAATAGAGTGCACTACTACCGAGCTGATGCAAGTTCATCAGAAAGAAGGGGAGACCTTAAGGGACTACATGCAACGGTTCAATAAGGCCACCCTGGACATTGACAATGTCCCTGACACCATCTGCTTGTCTGCCTTGTTGCACGGCCTCAAGCCTGGTCGATTCTTGGATGACCTGTTGGAAAATCCACCAAAGTCATGGAACGAGGTGAATGACAGATTGGCAAGCTTCATTTTGTCAAAAGACTTCCAGTCATCCAAATGACGAGCTGACGATAAACAAAATAAAGAGCATAAACAACCAGAAGGAAAGGAAGAAAAGACAAAACAAAAAGTTGTCAAGCAGAGAGGAAAGCCGCCTTCCTTCCCAAAATATGCTAGCTACATCCCCTTGAGCTCGTCGAGGTCCTAAATCTTGGCATAGATCCAACACTGGGTTAAGAGACCACTACCTCCACTACATGATTCTCCTTGAGCAAACAGAAGCAAATATTACGACTACCACCATGGTTATGGCCACAATACAGATGATTGCCAGAGTTTCAAGGACGAGCTGAAATTTTTAGCTCATAATGGAAAACTAGAAGGATATATCCAGAAACCCTACACCCAGCATCCTAGTCAAACCCACTTTGTACAAGATTACAACCGACCTCAAGGGAAAGGGAACCAGCACGATAATAATCAAAACCTGTACCAAGGGAATCAATACTCTTCTGAACCTAGCAAAGCATACAAAAGATGCCAATTCAATAGAAGAAGACAAGGACAGAAGGCCCCGGCACAGAACCAAAAGGACAATAGAGGGATAGGCCATACTAGGATACCTCCACCCTCTAGCATGATAAACATTATTTCTAATGGCATGCATTCGGGGGGCCAGAGCGCCTGAGGTCGTAAAGTCTATACTCACTAGGTGATGACTGTGATCAAGAATAGGCCGCTAAAACGACCGTTTAAAGAGGTGGAGCGGGAAAACACTCCCATTACATTCAGTCCTATAGATTACAAACGACCAAAGGGGGAGTCTGATGTTATGATGCCCCATGCTGACCCTTTTGTGGCAATAGTCCATATAAGCAACCACAATGTCAATAAGGTCTTCATTGATACGGGCAATTCCTCAAACATCTTATATTGGAGTTGCTTCCAAAAGATGCAATTAAACCCAACTTCCTTGAAAAAATATGAAGGGCCTATATACGGGTTTGATAATCAGCCTGTTCCTATTGAAGGAGTAATCACTCTTCCCATCTATGTGGGTGCTGAATCAGGGTTTAGGATGGCCTCAGTGAACTTTTTAGTGATCAAGATGGAATTAGCTTTCAATGCTATAATTGGAAGAAATACACTGTGAATTGAAAGCTGTCATTTCCCAACCACACCTTTGTATGAAGTTCCTAACTCTTCAGGGGATAGGAGTGCTCAAAGGGAATCAAAAAATGGCTAGAACCTATCACCAAGATACATTCAAAAAGGTTGAGCTTGTAGTAGTGCACAAGGCCCTTGTTTCTCAGGTCTCCAAGTCGAGTCAGCCAGGCCAATAGACAATGAGCATTTGTGACTTAGTTCACTGACTTGAGAACGTGGAGCAGAAGGCTGAGCTAGTAGAACCAGTAGAGACAATTCCTTTAAACCCCGATGAACCGGAAAAAATAGTGAAAATTGGAACTAAACTCATAGGGGAATAAAGGACCGAGCTCTTGGAGTTCTTGAAGGCCAACCGGGACGTTTTGCATGGGCAACGGATGAAATGCCCAGAATTCCAATAGAGCTTGCAATCCACAAGCTCAACATAGATCCTACAAGGAAGCCGGTGGTTCAAAAAAGGTGACTTTTCGACCTTGAGAAACAAGCTACTATAGATGAAGAAATACAAAAATTATTACAGGTATGTTTCATCAAACGGGTTGAATATTCGCAATGAGTATCCAATCCTATGTTCGTTAAGAAGCCTAATGGCAAGTGGAGAATGTGCATTGATTTTACAAACCTGAACGAGGCATGTCCCAAAGACCCACACCCTTTGCCCAATGTTGAAAAGCTGGTAGAGTGGGCAGCTGGTTATGAATGCATAAGCTTTTTAGATGCTAGCTCAGGATACCATCAAGTTCAGCTATGGTTGGATGATCAAGAGAAAACGGCATTTTATGCGGGGGATGCCATCTATTGTTACGTCATGATGCCGTTTGGCTTGAAAATTGTTGGTGCAACATATCAGAAGTTAGTTCAGGTCGTATTTAAGTTTCAGATCAGTAAGAACATTGAAGTTTATGTTGATGATATGATTGTCACCAGTATGTGAGCTGAAGATCATATTGACGACCTTAATGAGACATTTCAAAATTTGTGCCGAGCATAGATGAAGTTGAATTCCCTGAAATGTACATTTGCTATGGAATCAGGAAAATTCTTGGGATACGTGGTATCCAAGAAAGGAATTCAGGTGAATCCAAACAAGGTTCAGGCCGTGCAACAGATGGAACCTCCTAAGACAGTAAAAGATGTGCAGCGTCTGACAGGTCGTCTTGTTGCTTTACACAGGTTTATCGCCAAGTCTACTGAAAGATGTCTTCCATTTTTCAAAGCCTTGAGGGAAGCCAAAAACTTTTAGTGGACTAACGAATGCCAGCAAGCTTTTGACTAACTCAAAAAATACTTGGCATCACCAATGTTGCTTTCAAAACCTATTGAAGGAGAAAAACCATATTTATACCTAGGGGTTGCAGATGAGGCAATCAGTTTTGTTTTGCTAAAGGAATAAGATCAACTTCAAAAGCCCATCTGTTATGTAAGTAAGGTTCTACAAGGTGCAGAAAAGAACTACCCAATTGTTGAAAGAGCTGCTTTTGCCCTTGTATGCACTGCTCGAAAGTTGAGGGCCTACTTCCAATCTCATGAGATGATTGTTTTCACCGACCTGCCACGAAGAAAAATATTGCAGAAACTTAAGCTTTCCAATCGGCTAATTGGATGAGCAGTCGAGCTGAGTGAATATGACCTCAAATTTGAGCCACGTACGGTTATTAAGGGCCAAGTTTTGGCAGATTTTCTAGTGGAATGCCACCTGTTGCCAATACAAGAAATTGCACCATTATACCCAGTGTGGGCTTTGTATGTGGATGGAGTTGCAAGTGTTGAGGTATCGAGGGCAAAAGCAATGTTAATAGGCCCAGATGGTTTTAAATCCGAGCATGCATTGAGGTTCAAATTTCAAGCAACTAATAATGCTGCTGAATATGAAGCACTCATTTACGGTCTGAAATTAGCATCCAAGCTAAAAGCGTAGAGCATAAGAGTCTTTAGTGATTCCTAGCTCGTAGTGAACCAAGTGAATGGAAGTTGTGATATCAAAGATCCTTAGCTCAGTCATTACGCCTCTGTGGTCAACAGGTTGAAATCTGGCTTTGTCTTGTTTCAGATTGACAAGATATTAAGGGTAGATAATTGACGAGTTGATGAGTTATCGAAATTAGCTTCATCGCAAGATATCAATCCTAAGAGGACAACATTCATCGAGGTACTTGATGCACCGAGCTATACCGACCTAACAGTTGAGTGCCAAATATTAAGTATAGATCCCTCATCTCTGAGTTGGACTACACCCTTGATTAATTACTTACAAAATGGTGAATTGCTTGAGGATTCATCTGATGCTTGATTAATCAAGCACAAGGCGGCACATTTTACCTTGATTGAGGATCAGTTAAATAAACGAGTAGCTTCAATGCCCCTACTATGTTGCCCCACTCTTTATGAAGTTGAGTATGTAGTAAGAGAACTTCATGAAGGAGTATGTGGCACACACCTAGAGGGAAAAACCCTAGCTTGGAAACTCGTGAGGCATGGGTACTACTGGCCCACTATTGTTGAGGATGCAAAAAGTTATGTCAAAAAGTGTCCAACCTGCCAATTCAACGCTAACGACATTCACATGCCAGGTACCTAAGCTCATTCTAAACATACCAAAACTTCGTCTTTGTCTCTGAGCTAAACATAAACATCCCTTTTGATACAAGAGAGATGCTATCGCCTCTCACATCACCCTAGCCCTTCGCCCAATGGGGAGTTGATCTACTTGGTCATTTTGTTAAGGGCAAGGGAGGCTGCACACATCTCATTGTTGCTGTGGATTACTTTACTAAGTGGATAGAAACCAAACTGTTATCCACAACAATTGAAAAGAAGATAGAGGAGTTTCTATGCAATTCTATATTGTGCAGGTACTCTTTAATGGCTCAAGCCATTTTTACATTACATGCACACATAATTCGTGGCTTAGCCAAGTTGTTTGTGTGCAGGTTTGGCATTCCTAAATGAATCATTGCTGATAATGGTCTCCAATTTCGAGCTGCAGCGCTCAGGCCATTTTGTAATGATTACGGCATTGAGCTCACTCTGACATCCATCTACACTCCACAGTCAAATGGACAAGCAGACTCAGCTAATAAAATCATTTTGTGCGGCCTCAAAACACGTGTCTTACCTGCGCACTCTAATTGGGTTGACGAGCTCAACAAAGTGCTTTGGTCATGTCATACTTCACCTAGCTCAGCTACAGGAGAAACCCCATTCTGCCTTGCCTATGGAGTTGAGGCCGTAATTCCTGTAAAAATCAGCTTGTTGCCTGATAGATTAGATCGGCATAACAATTCTAATAATGAGCAACTCCCAAGAGAAAACCTAGACCTTGTGGAGGAGGTAAGGGAGATGTCTTGGATGAAAAACATGGCCTATCAGAATCGGGTTGCTAGATTTTACAATAAACGAGTACGTGCTCGTCAATTTCAGGCCAGCGACTTGGTTTTATGCAAGGTCGAACTCAGTACTAATTATTTACACATGGGCAAGCTTGCACCGAACTGAGAAGGTCCTTACATGGTTGTTCATATAAAACGACCTGGGTTTTATTTGTTAGCAGATTCACAAGGTCATCAATTACCGTTTACTTGGAATATACACAATTTTAGGGAATATTACAGTTAGTGTATATTATCATGTAATATACTTAGAAAATGTAAAAATGCATACAAAGTTCAATGAATACAGAAATTTCATAAAATCGTCCAGATTGTATTTCTTTTCAAAAATTTTACATAAAGGCACAGGGGACAACGATGGAAATGTTTGAAAAGGTTAATCAACCAATACAAAAATTCAAAAGAAAGAAAAAACAAAGACTAAAATCATAATCGTTTGTTAAATCTACCGGAATGGATGCGTTAGCATGAGCTAGGAAGATCGAGTTAGAGTAAGAACTGGTGTAGTGATGAGCTGAGAAGATGAAGGAGTGCTTGAGGGTTCAGCTTCTTCCTTAAATGGCTCGGCCACCCACGCATTGAAGCTTAACAGGCCCTCCAAATCCTCCCCCTTTCCACAATGAATGGAGGCCACACAGGCACTCCTTCTTCATTGAGCTCCCACCTCAATTACACCATTGTGTCAACGAGAGGAGCGAGACTTTTGCCCTGCTTGTCCATTTCTTCTCCCTCGAAGAAGGCCACCTCGCCGATCTGGAAGTCAGGCTGGTGCCGTAATACCTTTCCACAAATTTCATTGTAGATCTCCATGGTGGTATTTGTTGAGGCGACTGCCACAGCATCTTAAAACATATCAGAGCCGACTAGCCACTTTGCCCCTTGTGCTCAGGCAATACATACAGAGCACTGGTGAGACTTTTTTGTTCTATCCAGTGCCGCCTCAACTCGGACCAGATTCCTGTTAGTTTTGGCCACCCTTTGCTTAAGGGAATTCAGCTCGCTCAGAGCCTTATCCCTATCAGCCTCAGCATTTTTGGCGCGGTCCTTAGCACAGTCGGCCTTATCTTTAGCGACTTGGATCCCGCTATCCCTCTCAGCTTGAGCCTTCTCCAGCTTCTCTTTAAGCTCGTTCACCTTATTGGCCAACTCGTCAGCTCGGCTCTCAGCTGACGTAGCTCGGTTGGCCATCTCAAAACTCTGCAAACGGTTGACCTCATCTTCCAAGCTCGCCTTTTTGGAAGTCAACTTTTTGCAACTTTCATTGAGCTCGTGGTTTTGCCCGCGTACTCCCTGTTCGTACTCAAAAAGTGCAACCGCGTAGCTGAAGACCTGTCATGCAATTTCAACCATTAGTTTCTAGCGTAAAATTGAGAAAATATGATAACATAAACATTCAATGAAAATGCTTACATCCATCAGCTTCAACATAACAGCATGGCCTCCTGCTGTTGTACGTAGCCCTTGGAGCGTTGGCAGTCCACTAGCGGGACAAAGTTTTACATGCCTTGCAGCATAGCGGCCTAGTAGTCTGTCTTGGCATAATTGGAGCCCTTAGGGTAGGCAATCTTGGGGCCAGACACCGTGGTCACTACCGGTCCAACCTCTGTAGCATCACATGTAGGGGGATTGGGTATGTTAGATGACCACATCACAGTGGGTTGAATGGGCTGAGTCCTTGAGCTCGTCCTCCGTCGGATGAGTGCAATGTCCTCCTTTGCATCCGAGTCATCATGAGCCCCCCTTCGGGAATCTGAAGGTTGAGTGTCAACTTTATGCTCGGTCCGGGATCTCGACGTCGAGCTTGAACCTCGCTCCCTCTGTGACGAGTTGCGAGATGGCACAACAAGCGGTCGCTCATCAAAGCAAGTTGACCTCTGTGAGCTGCCCCCCCTGCAACCTCGTGAATGCTGAGCTCGTTCACATTGCCTTTTCAATACGTTACTCATTTCTCCTGCACAAATAAATGCAATAAGACTCAGATTGGCTAGCTATTGCAACTTACAATAAAAATATACCTTCGGTATATAGGTTTGTGACATCCACAAACCCAAACATCGAGATCTACTTCGGGGTAACCAAGGCCTCCAGATCTACTAATCCTTCTGCCTTTACATAATCTAGTAGCCTATTCTTCAAATCCACATCCCTAGGCACTAGAGTTGGGTAGTTCATGTACGTGACTTGAGCACCATTCAGCAAGATGCGTTGCTAGCTCGTTATTAACTCTCTATACTCGGGTGTCTCAAACAAAAATGAATTGCCTCTTACATCTGGCGACTTTATTACAAACATTTGTAAAGATAATTATTTTCTCCCTTCCAGAAATGTAACTCCACCTCGTACTGGTACTACTAAGTTGGCATAGGAATAGCGACCTAAACACTGTCGCTTTTGCTGGTATCACCAACCTCGCACATAACAGCATAAATCCTATAATGACTTTTATACTGTTCGGGGTCAGTTGTGTAAGTGTCAACTCATACTCTACTAACAAATCAAAAATCAACCTTGGTAAGGGCAAGCACAAGCTGGTGTTAAAGTGGTTCACGTACATTGGTATCTAGCCCGTTCATGACACTATGCATGCCCTCTCATGTTTGGTGCCAGCCTGGAGCAAAATTGTTTTGGGCATCTAATATTGTTTCACTATCTCTTCCAATTTCTTATACCTTTTGACAGTAGCTACATCATCTATTACATCGTGGTGAAGGGCCGCCCTGAACTTAAATCTAGAAGGCAAAGTATGTGGCGCCTTGCGAATGTTGCTCAGTTTGCCATTGATGGTTTTACCCTCCCACTCTATAAGTACAAGCACATCCCCATTTACATTTTCCATTTGAGGACTGCTTATGCCTTCCCCTACACCTTCTCCGGTACTAGGTGTCCTATCTGACGACGAACCTTCAGGCGTTCAAGAATGGTGACCACCAGAGTCACCATGTGCACTGAAACTAGCGCTGCTCTCCGGTGTAATAGTTTCCGCAAATCTTGCAGTTCTGGCGGCACTATCATCACAATGGGTTCTGCTGAAATCACACCCTCTTCTTCTTCCCTACCCTGTTTACCCCGAAATTCTCTAAGTTCTCTAAAGAAGTCCATTTTTACCTGAATCTGATGTGTATAATGCTCTTCTGCGTCTGTGATTTCGGAGTTGCGCTCTTAAAACTTCAAAAGCTTTGTTGTAGAAAATGACAGAGAATATGGTGAAAGAGACGCCAAAACGGTTATGTTATCGTTCCCCTTCTTTTCTGTAAACATTTCAAGTAGATTTAATTATTGTACGCGTGTTCTTAACACACCAGTTAAAACCCCACACATGGCAGCCATTTAAAGCTTGGCGTGTAACGTCCACCGGCTTTAACTGTCACGTCTCTTCAAATGCTAAGCCAACATTTATTGCAGGGAAGGTAGAGAGATATGGGATATCAACTGTATCTCCTCAGAGATTTGCTTTGTTTTAAAATTTGAAAAATGTCCAAGGTTGTGGTCGTCCCATTTCAGTTCGACATTGTAATAGCATCTCCCCAAGGATCTGAGATCGTAATGCATCAGCTTGTATCTACAATTAAGAAGATCCAAGATTGTTATAGATTCTCCCTTTAATGAGATCATTACGCGTTAACTCATATCTACAATTATGAAGGCTAAGATCGCTACGCGTTAGCTCGTCTTCGCGATCACGTGGATGACCTTATTTCACTCCATTTTAGACTTACAGAATACCTAGGTTGATATCGTCATACTTTAGCTTGTCTTCAATCGTACACCCTCAGAAATCCGCTCCATTGAATTTTTGAAAGATTGCCATGGTTAAGCTTGTCATGCGTTTGTCCATTTTCACACCAACATAGACGAGCTCGCTACATAACACCTCACATGTAACACACATCTTACCAGGAGACTCCATCTCCATCTGGACATGCCTCACTTGGAGGTTTGAAAATTCGTTATATGAATAAACCTTCTATGAGCTCATTGAGCTCGCCAATAGACTAAGTTCACGTAAATAAGGCTGATCATTCACAATCAAATAGATGAGCTCATTATATGCGTAGATGCTTAATCTAAATTCAAATGGCTGAGGTCATTCTAAGACCAGGTCGCCAGGTGTTAGCTCATTGACTGGGATCACACTGATATCAGGTCGTTGTATGGTCAGGTCACTCTGATGCAACCTTTTCCATAAAGGCTTCCTCACCTGGGGTTCAGTTCGGATGCGTCACAGCTCGTTCAACCCAAACCTTTGCTTTTTGATGTATGTTCTATACCATTCTTTCAGCTCGGCCACTAATGAGGTCGTTCATAAATGCAAACGAGTGTAAGCCCTGTCTTCAAGGCTTAGTGTTAAGCCACGAGTGTAATTACCCCAATTCATCAACCGAACACTAAAGGGGGAGTAATGTTGGGAATAAGCCCAACTTTCAACCTGGGCCATATACAATAGGCCCAGGAGTTCATCCCTAAGCCCACAATGAAGACACATCAGGCACTAATCCAAACGTACCCACGTGGGTGTATGTACATGGACTAATCAGAGGTGCACACATGTAGCCTTATGTCAGGATTCAGGGGCTATAAATACCCCCCAACTACCTCCACTCAAGGTAATAACTCCACTATGCTTCTCTCTCTGTAATTACTCTTTGAGAGCTTCTCTCTCTACAATTACATTTTAAGAGCTTCTCTTTCTAGAATATTGAGTATTGCTAACTTGAGCATCGGAGTTTTTCCCTGACGAAACATCCTCGAGATTTTCAGGTGTTGAAGCAGTTGAAGACCTCTATAGCATAGGTTCATGAAGCTGCCCAAACAAGAACTAAGGGAACAAAGTTTGAAATCAACCCAACAAGCTCTCTTGAGGATTCTTGGTGTTTGAATGGAGCTAATGGGGTTCCAAGTGATGATTTTTTTGTTGATTGTTTTCTTGATTTTTTCATTGGAGAAGTTGAAGATGGAGGTTCTGTTGAAGAAGATGAGGAGGAGGAAGAAGAAAAGGACTCCCTTTCTATTTCATCTCAGGATAACAACTCCAATTTTGTTAGTTCTTAGCATAGTTCGTTGCGAACCCAGGCGTGAGCTAGGTTCGTCCTGGGTTCGTGAAGAACCCAGCGCATGCTTGGGTTCACGACAAACCCAGCTCGCGCTTGGGTTTTCGACAAACTCGACAAAGGTTAAAAAAAAAAAAAAAAGCCAACAGGGGGAAGAAGATGGGGCAAATAAGTAATTACAAAACAATTTTTAAAATATTTATAATAATAATTATGTAATTAAATAATTTTTAAGGTTATATTAAACAAAAAATTTGGCCATATCATTAATTTTTATCAAATGAATTTTTTCACATAATTTAAGTAAAGAAAAAAAATAAATTTTTTCATTAATTAACATGTTACATCAACTAAAATTTAATGAAAGAATTAAAAACAGATCAAATTTTAAATTTTAGAGATAAAAAAAATAGATTTTTTTAGTATAAAGATTAAAAAGAGGCATTTTTTCATAATAGAAGAAACAAAAAGGTATTTAACCAAAAGCATATATGAATCCATAATTTTTAATTTTATCTTTTTTAGTTTGTGTTTGTATTAGAAAATATATGAATTTATTTTGAGATATTTTAAAAAATATATATATTATATGTATTTTTATTTAAAATAAAGTCAGATAAATTTTAAATTACTAAGAATTGAGATTTAATGAATAAATAATTTGATACCGGTAAAATTATAAGTTTTTATTTTAATTTTAAATTTTTTTTTAATTTTTATAGTTTAATATTTTGATTTCTTTTTAATAATTTTTTTAAGTGTAGATTTATTTGAAGAAAATTTTAATTTAAACTTTTGAAAAAAGAAATAAACATGCAATATGAAGAGAGAGAATGTAAAGGAGGCGAAAGAAGATGGATGAAAAAAGAAGAAGGAAGAAATAGCTGAAAACTCTTTAAGAATTTTATAGTTTAAATTGATCACATCACCCATCTAATGCCATATCAGCACCAAGCCATTCCTTGGTAACGGAGCAATAAGGATGTAGACGAAGAGATGACATTTGATGAGGTCATCGTTAGCAGAATGGCAGATTTGCGGGTCTTGTAAAGTAGAGGGTTTAATTTGCACTACTTTTAAGTATAGGAGCTAATATGCCATAAAAATTAAAGTATAAGGGCTGAATTGCACTTTCTGCCTTTTATTTATTATTTCTCAATCCCCAATGTAAAATTCACTACTCTTTCTTCTCCTCTCTGCAGAGCTTGTATCTTGTGATTTTCTCGCCTTTTATCTTTTGAGAAGATGACAGAGCCTGTAAAGGAAGTATCTTCTCCTGATGGAACTGAAGAATTGAATCTCCAAGAGTCAGAGTTGTGCATAAACAAGAATCAGGAACAGCTTGAAAGTTCCAGATCCAAAAGAGTTCGTACATCAAAACAAGGTGGAAGTGGAGCTAAAGTTGAGGCTTCTTCCCATCAACCAAACAAAAGAGGCCGGAAGCGTACACTGACACCTGCTGAAAGAAAAGCAAGAAAAAATGCGGGTGATAGAAAAGGTAGGAATGATCGAAAGGTAAACAAATTAGTATACAATCTCTATTTTCATCTTCTTAATTATGATTTTTTTTTATTTCCCTAATTTTTATATTTATGTTTCTGCACATATAGATTGAGCTGGGAGATCTTAGGGCAATGATATCTCTATTTGAAGATCTAAAAAATAAAAAAGGACAATTGGTAAGGGAGAACAAGAGACTTAAATCTGAGATTACTGTTATGATTCAGCAGATGGAGACACAAAAAAAATTATAAGGTAACATATCTATCTTCATCTCTTTCTCTTCTATTTATGGATAGTAGCAAAATGTGTCTTTTTCTCTAGATTTTTGAAATGATTCTTCAAAATGATGAATGGAATGCTATCAGCTGCTTTATAATTTCTTAGACTTTGTTTAGTATGATTGTAGTCTTTAGTTCTGGTTTTGGTTTTATAAATTTTGCAACTTTAAATACAAAAAACCTTTACTTTCATGCGTTTTTATAACATATTATCATAATTACTAGAAAAATAAGAATAAAAATAATTTTAATACTATTAAATAAGTTTATATTTTTTGTTGTCAATGTAGAAACTTGTTTTAAATAAATTGTTAGTTTTTTACTTTTAGTTTTGGTTTTCAGTTGTCATAAAATTTATGAAAACCAAAATTAAAAACCAAAGACCACAATCATATTAAACTGAACCTAGTGTGTAGGCCTTGTTGTGGGAAGAAAAGAGAAAGAGGAAAAGCTAGGCACATCTTATGTTTTGCATGATTACTCTACCTGTTGATATGGGTGGAAACATATTATCAACAATTCTTGAAGCTGTGCATCTCATTTTTCTCTGTTTTCTCTTTCTAACATGGCAGGAGAATAAATTGACGGACATGGGCATTCTGCTGGACCTGGATTTTCTTAATGGAAAGGTATGATAATGCACACTTTCATTGCTGATGGATGGAAAAAATATTACCTGCAACTTAGGCTCTCCACACTCATTTCTTAGTTCTCTGTTTCAGGCATTGCAGAAGAATATGTTGATGGACTTGGAGATTTAGATGACTACTGTTTTTGATGGAGTGTGATGGTTCTTATTTGATGCGCATCTTTCAGTGTTTATATATGGATATAAATTATCTGCAATGTTTATGGCATTGCAGGATTTGATGTTTATGCTTGATGATTTATCTGATGCGAAACTTCTTGAAGAGGTATGATAATTCTTATCTGATGCACAGCTTTTATTTTTATCTTTATTTTTTCTTTTTTGGTGTAGCACTAGTGTGCTTCTTGAACGCAACTTTGATAGTTGATCTTTTTGTTTTGGTACTGCAAAATTTCCCCATTTAGTAGTTTTTTAGAATAATGACCAAGTTATTGTGTTACTGTCTGTTGTCAATTTCTCCTTGTTAATGGGGTTAAGCTTGGTAACATTGAAGGTGTATGACAATTGTGATACGTCACTATTTGATTGTTAATATCTAACTCTTGATCACTAATTCCTTTTTCATATTGTTTCAGATTGATGCTCTATTTCCTCTCCCACTTCCCAAAGGACCTGCAACAAACAAGCTAATTACTCAGGGTACAGGAAATTTACAAACTGAAGTATTGGAGCCTGACAAGGAGCAAATTCAGGCTGAGTTGGCGAAGGTAAGGACTACCAACAAAGAATTGAAAAGGGAGAATACAAGGCTCAACTCTGGGCTAACTGCTCTTGCTCAAAATATGGGCGTACTAAAAGAAATGATAAGGTTCTAAGAGATTTCTAAATAATTGTACTTATAGAAAACAAGCTGACTCTTCAAAATGATATGGACCAATTGTGATGCACCACTTTTGATTGTTGATCTCTCATTTCCAATTACTAATTCTTTTCCTTATTTTGGTTTCAGATTGATAACAAAATTCCTTCAGCATGTTGCAATGAAGAACTTGCAACAAACAAGCATGATACTGTAGGTATAGAACTTCCCAAATTGGAATTTCATATGATAATGATGTCATGGAAAATTAATGTATTGAAGAACTTGATGCCAATAACTCGTTCTTCCAGACGAGCTAAACTTGTTTTTTCCTCATCATTTGCAGGCAAGGGTACCACTGAGGGAGCCTTAAAGTTGAACAGTAAGGGGGAAGATGAGCTAAAAGAGGTGCTGAAGGGAAAGCTTGCAATGGCAGTTGATGACACATCCACATGTCCCCCAACAGGCAGCACTTTATTTAGCAGCTTCATGTCCAATACTTGCCAGTCAATCCGCCAATTTGCCACTGCACTAGTCACTCAGAATCATCTGCTTTCCACTGCTGCGGGTGCTGAATTGAGGGAGGCTATGCATGACAAGCAAGCCTTTACCTCAGCTTCAGGTATAAAGGGCACAACTGATGTTCTGAAGCTTGAGAAGGTTAATCCGCAGAATTAATTGTCTCTCTTTCATTCCCACTGTTTTTTCCTTATTTTCTTCCTCAAATCCTTTTGAGCAGCAACTCTTTTCCTCTGACTTTACTAGAATATGGAGGCTTGTGTTTCCCTTGCCATCCAGTTTGCATTGGAGATAGCCAGAGCACAAAGAGAGTCGAGAGCTGTGCATGCTGAAGAGTGCAGTGCCAACCAAGCAATAAAGACTGCAGACGATGATTAGGGCTGAGCATTGGGTACAGGTATATTTGATATCTGTAGATATCTGACTTATTTGAGTAAAGTACTTTACTTGTATCTATGAAAAGGTAATTAAATATTGGATATGAAAAATACGTACTTGCTAAGATTGGGTAAGTATTGGTATAAAGGTCAATACCTACATACTTGACTTGCATATCGATCCATACATCTTTTTATTTGTATATTTTTTTTATTGTATATATAAACTTGTGTATGTGTGAGTGTATGTACTCATGTATTTTGTTTTATATATAAGCTTGCATTATATGTATGAACTTATAGTTGTATATTAATTTTTATATTTTCAGTATAAAATTTAATAAATATATAAACAATACTTGTATTTAGCAAGTTGGGTAATGAGTATAAATTTTTAGTATCCAAATAAGTATTGAGTGCTAAAATTTTATATTTGTTATGTTTAAGTATATATATGAGTAAATACCTAACTCATAGTTATCCATGCTCACCCCTAACGACGAGAACTAGGGAGCACAGCAAATACAAGGCTGTGGTCTTGTGGATAGGATTGCGATTTTTATCTGATTTCACCTAAAATGGAATTTTTTATTTTCTAGAAAGTAGTTTCTTTGACTCACATAACATTCCATGTCATCGAGTCGGGGTGGGCATGGCATGGAAAGGTAACCGTACACGTTAATTTTTCACTAATTGTTTATTTCGGTAATGAAATTTTGTTGTCAATATCATATCAATTGTGGCGTTTTTTGCAATCGGTATGGTAAAGGAATAATTGGTAATTCACATTCCCATTACAGTCCCAAAATTATCGAACCATAAATTTTCATTTTAGTCCTTTAATAATTTCTCAATCTCATTCCATTATCTTTTTGTCTTTCATCATAAAACCAAAATCCACGATGAAAAATGGAAGAATCCTTGCTATTTTAAATGAAACCCACTCATCAAGAACTCAAAACAATTCAAAAATTTTGAAAAAAAAAAAAAATTAGTAGTTGAGAGTATCTAAACTTATTGTCGTGCCTTCATTTTCGTTCATCAGTCCCTTATTTTTCATTCACCGACTGGTCTGAGATTTGAGGGGAAAGGGAATAGGAATGAAAACAATTGAAAAGGGAATGTAGAGAGAATATAAGCTGAAACTCACTAATTCAAACATTATACTTGTGTTCTGAATCTTTTAATTAAGAGGGTAGAAAGAGAAGTTTTGTACCTTATATTTTGACTTTGAGTGGGTAATGGATCTCAATTTGAAGTGAGACCGTAAATAAAAAATTTTACACTGTTTGGATCAAAGGCGATACGAGGAAAAGGAGAGGAGAGTGATGGAGAGGAGGAAAGATTTCTTCTCTATCTTGTTTGAATAAATTCATTAAGGGGGAGAAGGGGATAGAAGAAAGCGTGATGAACTCTTTTCAAATCTTTCAATTCGAGAGAACTTGGAAATATTTGATTTTTATTTTTATTTTCTTCTTTTACTTTTTCTTAAAAAATATAATTAAAATTTTAATTTTAATATATAATATTATAAAATTATAATTAATTTTCTTTAATTTATTTAATTAAATAAAAAAATGTAACCTTCACCTTCCCCCTCTCTCTCTCTCTTTTTTTTTTTTTTTTGCAATTTTTAGTTATGCACAATCAATAAGAAATTAAATAAAATAATTAGGGATGGCAACGGATTCCCACTGGGACGGAGACCCCCTCCCCATCCCATCCCCATCAATGATGGGTACAGGGATCCCTACGGAGATTTTTGGCGGAGGATAAAAAGTAGCCTTCATTCTCATACTCACGGGTAATAATAAGTTCCAACGGGTATTCGAAATCCTTACCAAATAAAACTCGATGCTCATTTTTCGTTTGAGAAATAAATTGAAGATAAAACAAATTAAGAACTTGAATGAACCTCAAAATAATAATACGATTATCGTTTGCTGTGAATAGGAGAAACAATCTGCGTAGATGTAAACAATAAAAATCATATTCTGATAATCTTGTGAACAATCGGAAGGAAAATGAAATAAAAAATAATAAGGCCAAAAGAATGAGATCTGCTTCATCACAAAATAAATCATCAAGCACAGATACTCATAAATACTCAAAACTCAAGTTTAGGTAAGCTGCAAGTAGTTGACTAAAGAATATAAATAGAGATATGGGCACTACCTTTTGAAGGTTGCCAAGAATTATAGGCTGATTGCAAAACAGAAACAAGGCCAGTGAGCTACAATGCAGAGGAGAGGAGACTAGAGTCTGGAGAGGAGGAATCGTAGAGTAGATTCGTAAATCTCAGAAATTTGGGGTTACTAGCAAATTGAGTTGGGTTTGAACAATTAAGTTTAAGAAGATAATACAAATTGGGTTGGGCTTAAGCAATTAAGTTTAAGAAGATTATGGGCTGAACTGGATTGGACTATATAATTGGGTTTGAAAAAACTGAAAAAAAAAAAAAGATTGATCAATTAATTAGGTTGAGTAAGTAAAAATTAATTGTTAATATATTTAAAAATATATATAAAAATAAATTTATTTATTTATTTATTTTATATGGACCTCTACAATTTCTCACGAGATGAAAGAAATTCCTCACAATTTTTACGAAGAAAAAAATGCCTCCATCCCTGCCTTACAGAGAGAAATATTCTCGAAATCTCCATCCATCTTTATGCTGAGAAAATCCACGCGGGCCGCCAAGGAAATCGCCATCCCTAAAAATAATGTATACCGTGGTGCTTGGTAGGATCCGGTAAGTCTGGTAATGGGCTTCAAGTGCCATTGCCGGACCGCAGCCCAAATGGTACCTACCAAATTACCATTTTGGGCTGCCAAACAGTCCTTCTCGTCGAGTGAATACCAAGCGAAGGAAGGAGAGTAGGGGTAAATTAAAACATTTCTGTTTCCCTCGTCTCGCTGGCTTCTCACCACAAAACTCACTGCTGTTTCCTCTCCTCTCTCCGAGCTCGTATGTTGTGATTTTCTCACCTTTTATCCTTTATCTTTGAGAAGATGAGGAAGCCTGTAAAAGAAACATCTTCTTCTGATGAAACTGAAGAACTGAATGTTCAACAGCCGGAACAGCCTGAAAGTTTCGGATCCAAAAGAGTTCATAAATCTGAGCAAATTGGAAGTGGAAAAGAGATGGTAGATGTTCGAGGGGAGACCTAAGTTATGGCTTCTTCTTACCACCAACCAAAGGGAGGAGGTCAGAAGGTAATCTCCATTTTCATCTTCTTAATTTATGATTATTTTTATTTCCCTAATTTTTATATTTATCTCTCTACACATTTAGATTCAGCTGGGAGAACATATGAGGAAACTGAGAGTTCAATTTGACGATCTAAAGAATACAAAGGAAGAGTTGGTACAGGAGAACGAGAGTTTTAAATCTGAGATTACTGCTCTGGAGCAGAAGATAGAGAGACTAAGAAAGTTAAAGGTAACATCTCTATCTTCATCTCTTTTTCTCTTCTATTTATGGATAGTAGCAAATTGTGTTCTTTCTCTAGATTTTTTAAATGATTCTTCAAAATGATGAATGAAATGCCATCAGCTGCTTTATAATTTTTTAGGCTCTATTTAGTATGATTGTAGTTTTTGGTTTTTATAAATTTTGCAATCCTAAACACAGAACTCGTTTACTTTTATGTGTTTGTGCAACATGTTATCATGATTACTAGAAATATAAGAACAAAAATAGTTTTAATACTATTAAACAAGTTTACATTTTTTTTTATCAATGTTAAAACTTGTCTTAAACAAATTGTTAATTTTTTGTTTTTAGTTTTGGTTTCTAGTAGTTGCAATTTTTATGAAAATCAAAATTAAAAACCAAAAACCACAACTATATTAAACAGAGCCTTAATTACTAGGTAGACCTTGTTGTGTGAAGGAAAGACCTTAATTACTAGGTAGACTTTGCCGTAAAAAGAAAAGAGAGTGGAAAAGCTAGGCACATCTTATGTTTTGCTTGATTACTGTACCTGTTGATCTGGGTGGAAATAAATTATCAACTATTCTTGAAGCTCTGCGTCCCATTTTTCTCTGTTTTATATTTCTAACATAGCAGGAGAATATGCCAATGGACATTGACAGTCCAAAGGACATGGACAGTTTGGTGGATCCTATGGAAATAGATCTTCCTGAAGGGAAGGTATGACAATGTACATTTTCATTGCTTGTGGATGGAAATAAAATTATCTCCAACCTAAGCTCTCTACCTATCAATTCTTAGTTTTCTGTTTCTGGCATTGCAGAAGAATATGTTGATGGACTTGAGATTTAGCTGACTACCTTTTTTTATGGAGTGTGATACTTCTTATTTGATGTGCATCTTTTATTGTTTATAAATGGAAATAAATTATCTGAAATGTTTATGGCATTGCCGGAGAATATGTTTATGATGATTTATCTGGTGCGAAACTTCTTGATGAATTATGATAATTCTTATCTGATGCACTGCTTTTTTTTTTTTTTTTTTTTTTTTTTTTTGTTGTAACACTAGTGTGCTTCTTGGATGCTACTTTGATAGTGGTTTTATTTTTTTATTTTTTATTTTTTTATCTTAAGTTGTACAATAGGAAGCAACCCTCTCCTATTCCATAACTCACCCTATCTGCATACCATATGACTTAAATTCAAGACTCCTTACTTCTACTTTCATTGGAATTAGATTACCATTGAGTTACTTTAATCATTGGCTTGATAGTTCATCTTTTTGTTGTTGCACTGCAAAATTTCCCCTCGAGTAGTTTTTTTAGAATAATGACTGCGTTATTGTGGTATTGTGTGTTGACAAAATCTCCTCATTAATGGGGTTACTTGGTGGCATTGAAGGTTTATGACAATTGTGATGTGTCACTATTTGTTTGTTGATCTCTAACTCCCAATCACTAATTCCTTCCTTTTCCATGTTGTTTCAGGTTAATGCCCCTATTCCTCTCCCAAGTCCCAAAAGGAATTGCAATAAACAAGCTAATCACTTGGTACGGAACCCTCACAAACTGAAAAGGAATTGCAATAAACAAGCTAATCACTTGGTACGGAACCCTCACAAACTGAAGTATTGGAGTCTGACATCAACCAACACCTGGATGAGTTGGAGGAGATGAGGGCTACCCACAAAGAATTGAAAATGGAGAAAGCTAGGCTCATTTCTAAGCTAACTGCTCTTGATGAGACTTTGAAGACACTAAAAGAAAAAAATGATAAGGTAACATTTCTCTCTGGTGTCTATCTTCATCTCTAAAAGTGCATCCTAAGAGATTTCTAAACAATTGTACTTATAGAAAACAAGCTGGTTCTTCAAAATGATATGGGCCAACTGTGATGCACTACTTTTGATTGTTGACCTCGCAGTTTCAATTACTAATTCTTTTCCTTATTTATGTTTCAGACTGATAACAAAATTCCTTCAGCATGTCGCATTGAAGAACTTGCAACAAACAAGCTTGTTACTCCAGTTATAGAACTTCCCAAACTGGAATACCATATGATAATGATGTCCTGGAACATTAATGTATTGAAGAACTTGATGTTAATAACTCATTTTTCCAGACAATTGCTAACCTGTTTTTTCCTCATCTCTTGCAGGCAAGGGCATCACTGAGGGAGCCGTAAAGTTGAGTAAGAGGGAAAACAAGCTAATTGAGGTGCCAAAGGGAAAGCTTTCAACAGCAGTTGACAGCACATCCACATGTTGCCCAACAAGCAGCACTTTTTCTAGTGACTTCATCTCCACTATTTGCCAGTTAATCCCGCAATTTGCCACAGCACTGGTCACTCAGAATCTTCTGCTTTCCACTGCTGGGGATGCTGAATTGAGAGGGGCCACACATGACGAGCAAGCCTCAACTTTGGCCTTGGGTATGAAGCGCACAACTTATGTTCAGAAGCTTGAGAAGGTTAATTTGCAAAATTAATTCTCTTTCATTCCCTCTGCTTTTTCCTTATTCTTCCTCAACCATTTTTGAGTAGCAACTCTTTTCCTCTGACTTTACCAGCGTATGGAGGATAGTGTTTCCCTTGCCTAGCACTCTGCACTAGAGATAGCGACAGCATGAAGAAAATCTAGAGCTGCGAATGCCGAAGAGGAGGACAGTGCCAACCAAGTCATAGAAACTGCGGACGGTGATAACTAGGGAGCGGGCGTGAGTGGTCTTGCACAGGAACCTATCCATGGCGGCACAATCGCAGCGGTTGTGGAAGATCACTAAATTTCTGCTTTTAGTTGAGAATTAATTCTGTGGATTAACCTTCTCAAGCTTCCGAACATCAGTTGTGCCCGCCCTTTATACCCAAGGCTGAGGTTAAGGCTTGCTCATCGTGTGTGGCCTCCCTCGATTCAGCATCCCAGCAATGGAAAGCCGATGATTATGAGTGAACATTATACAGCATTAATTTGCATTATTCATCATGTTAAGTGAACAGTGTTTTATGGATTTTATTTTTCTGTCAACTCCTTTCTTGTGTTTTGTGCATACTCTGATATCAATTGTGCTAGTGATTTTTTTCATCGCAGATTTATTATTGGTTACTTTCTTATTCTTGGTATTTCTCTTATTTGCTACTAGAGCAAGAAACAAACTATTTCATCTTGCTCTAGTACTAAAGTTAGAGTATAGAGCTCTCAGTGATACCATAATAAAATTTTTTATTACGGTGGCTTCTTGAAAATATAGGTATTTTTTAACCTTTTTTATTGATTTATATTATAATAATCAAAGTATTATATGGATTGCTTACAATAATATTTTTTATGAATGTACAAAGCATATTAAGGTTAGTTATCATTTAATTCAGTATCATGTTGCCAACTTGTGGATTTTTTTATCGAGACTCACTTTCTTGGGTGCTTTTGTACACCTCTCTAAACTCAATTTAATTTCTTCATCGTCACCTTAAGTTTAAAGGATATGTTACAAAATGTTTATATTGTAATTATATTGATTATATTCATATTATAATTAATTGATATGATTAAATTAATTGAATTTGTATTATAAAATACGTTCTTATACATTTTTATAAATAGTTGCTTTGTACATTCGGTAGAATAATAAAAAAAAAAAACCATCACTTTCTTCATAATTCGTCGTTTATTTTCTCACAAGAAATACTAGTGGTCCCTACCTACTTCATGGAGGATATTTTTTTCGTAAATAAGAAGTTGTACATAAGTTTGGTAATGCAGGTGTTTAAAGTAAGAAAATTTTCTAACTTTGATCATAAATCAAGATTTTTAAATTAATTGTTACTAATTTGGTCAAGTTTTTGTTAGTATTTGCTGGGGATTTTGTCTTAAATTTATTACCACTAATTTTGTATATTTTTGTTTTGTGGAGTTTTAAGTAATTGGAACATTACTCCTTAGAAGGAAGATTATGCAAATACTTATACCAAAACAAAAAAATTATGCAAATACTTACTTTAGTATTTTTTAGTTGTCTTAATCTCTTAAATTTATAGAAATTAATTTGATGGTTCTATATGATAAATGAATAACAATTAATTTTTTTTAATTTAAGTGAAAAAACTCAACAAAAATTAGGTATAAAAAAAATTTATTATTATTTATTTATTATATAAAATTTTCTAATTAAATTTAATACAAAAATCAAGCTAAAATAATTAAATTTGACAAATAGGAGTATCATTTTATCTAAATAATAGTTTGGCAAATAAGGAAATAAATTTTTTATTATTAATAGCTAAAATTCCTATTTATTGTTTTGTAAGGTATGTACGTTTCATTTTGTTATTTTTAAATTAAGTTCATGATCATTTAATTGTACTTTTTATTTTGTTATCTTTGAGTTAAGTTTATAAATATATAATTGTATGTAATTTTAGTTATTTTCATTTTATTTCTTACTTTTACTTTTTAAATGTTTGTTATTGTACTTATTTTCAAAAAATTAAGAGTAAAAATCAGCTAGGTGCCTAAATTTGTTCTTAATTTATGATTATTTTTTTATGAGAGAAGGGTATATCAATCTTAACTTTCAAAAATAATTAGAGTTTTAATATTAAATTATATCATTTTATTTAATTAAAACTCAATTTAAAATTT